ACCCACCCACCCACCCACCCACCCTCTGCGGCTAGTAAGTGGGTTTACAGGGTTTCCCTAGCGGGGTCGGCAGTGGAGAGCACCGCCTTCGTACCTCTATCTCCTTGAGAAGACCATCCCAAGCCCCAAACCTTCAAACCTTTAAATCCTGAAATTTAGAGCCCCAAACCCCTAATGTAGGCGTCGGAGTAATTGGGAGTTGCATTGTTTTAGGCATTGGATTTTGGGATGGCAGCCTGCAGAAGCTCTAAATTCCAGTTGGAAAACCCGAACAGGCCCCATGTTTGCAGTTTTCTGCAAGAACTAAACCCGAGACCCCGAACCCTAAGCCCTAAGCCGAAACGAAACTCTAAACCCCTGCGAAGTGAGGCATGGGCCACTCCGACACTGCGAAGTGTCGGCTGCTGGTCCGAAGCGACTGGGCACATTAGGGGCGAAGGCTGAGAGCAAAGTGAGACATGCAGTTGCTGCGGCTGCGGCTGCGACTGAACTGCGTGGCTTGAGCAGCCGGTGCTGTTGTTTCTTCTCGCACATGCACCGGCAAAAACTGGTTGAGTGACACGCGTGTCAGAACTTCAACCGGCTTTGCCCGCATCTCCACAGTTCTGGGGGCTCGCACTCTGCCTTTAGATCCACATCTGTAACCCGTCGGATGGTAGTCCCCGACACCCAGTGCGAGGCGAGGACCACTCCTTCGCGCAGAAGGATGGGCAAGGGGGACTATAAACCCGGTGCGCTCAAGCCCAAGCCAGCAAAGAAGCCCCAAGCGCAAGATCCTGCAGGAGGGTGAGCCGCCGGCACCCGAAGATGCAGCGCCACCGAAGCCCGTTCGAGAGAAGGGCAAAGGTGGCAAAGGCAAGGGTGTCAAAGGCAAAAGCAAGGCCCGCCTTGGGGCTTGCTGAAAGGATCCTGGGACTTAGCAGCTAGGGTGAAATGAAGAAGGAACTTTGGAATTACCTGTAAGCTCTAACCCCGATTCAACGTACTTATATCTTTACTAAGTCCAATGGTCCAAGTTGGGAATAGGATGAACGTTCCATTGTCAGCAAGCTTGAGGCTCGGGCCTCTACGCCCTGAGTAAGTCTTGTCAGGGAGGAGCAGCCGTAAAGGAACCGATGGTAAAGGAACCGATTGAACAAAAGCAAGTTTCATCGGACGTTTCATGCTCTGCTGAGATTTTCTGTTGCTGCAATGTTTGCGATCAGCTCACGCACCCCTCTTTCCATGGATCTTCGGACTGATTCCACTACTTCTTTGTGCCGGGGTGACTGATACTTGATGACCTCGAGATGAGCTGTTCATCGTGGTCCACCCTTAGTGGCGGGGCATTTCCGGGAATATGGGCAGCATGGGTTCCACAAATGTCTGAATGGTTCATTAGAATCCAGGACGGAGTCAAGTTTCGCGCGGTTCTGAAACAGGACAGTGTCCCATCCGCTCTGCTTGCGATGTCAAAGGGTCAGACATGTTTCCGACAAAAAGAGAGAGATGATTTAGGCGTCACTGTGCTGTGGCGCTTGGCAAGGGCGCAAGTGTTCACAGACAGACACCATGCCAAACTCAAGCAGCTCTACTTCCGAAAAGTGCGAAGTTTCGAGGTGTTGAGACTTGAAGCAGAGATTCTGCAAAGATGAGACCCAAGCCGCAGAACGCACGTTTATTGGGGATGTCGCATGTTTCCAAGCCCGTCGGGCCAGGAGAAGGGCTCGAAGGGGAAAAGCAGTGGCAGCAAGGGCAAAGGCTTTGGCCAGACATCCAAGGGCTCTGTTGCTAGGTGTTACACAAACTTTGCTTTCTTTAAAGGATTCTTTAGGTTCCGATATGCTCGTTCTTGTGCATTGCAGTGCTTGTCGGGTGTTCAAATCAGGTTTCCCGAAACGGTTTCAGCTTTGCGGCCGTAGGCTCTTTGAGTTCATGTCCCAAGTCTCGAGGGGGGTTACATCGAAACCTCCTGATGTTTGTTCCAGAGTTTCGGAAGTTGTGCTCCATGCGTGAACATGTCCCGCGAGAGCCAACAACTCTTTTTTTCTCTCCTGCAGGCCAGCGTGAACACAGGTCGAAGTAATTTATCTTGCGTCACAGTCTTAGTCTTTCGCCAGTTAATGTCTGACCCGAAACCCTAAACCCTAAACCCTAAACCCTAAGCCCTAAACCCTAAACCCTGAAAGTTTTTTAACAAGGCGTTTTCGAGATCCCGTCAGGCAGCCGAAAGGCCGCTACGCATGCTACGCCCAAACACTGGTCATCCTCGCCCCAGCACGGGGGCCTACCCCATTTTTCCGGGGGGTCTTAGGTTGGGTTTGCAATATATCCCATCCGCATGAGCATTTCGACCTTCTAGAACTTTTCGGCTTATGTGGTCGGCCTTGCCAGACCTAGCTCGCGAGCTTAGACTCTCTTCGACTCCGTGCAATAGCCCTTCGCTCGCTTTGCTGACTTTGGGTGCTATCGCTCTCTTCTGGATAGGTTGCTTCTGCGGATTCCTTTGTGCCTGCCTGCTGCTTTCGTTCCAGTGCCGGCGCTTTTGCGCTCACATTGTGCGCTGGGGGGCGACGCTGCTTGAAGGACCTATTGCTCCCGCCGCGGCTTTATCTGCAACAGGGCTTCAGCGATTTCGGGAATACCGCAACCAGTGAATGAGTGAGCGAGCTCCTGCTGACGAGGTTGAAGAACTTGAGTTTGCTTTCCAGGGCTTGTCCATTACAATCAGACGGCGTCCCGCCGCAGGATCGAGTGAGGCTGCTTCAGCTAGACCTTCAGCTTCTTCAGTTTCTCCCGAGCTCCCCGAGCTTGCCAGAGTACCCCTTGCTGGGGCTGAGGGCCCGGCTTCTAGGGAAGCCACTCCGACTTGGGAACAGAGGCTTATCTCCTTGGATACCCCGGCTTCGCTTGACGCTGCCGACCTGGGGCCTCACGAGTACTTTGCTAGGCGTCTGACGGGCGCCGGGGGAGCCTGGACTGCAAGAGCTCGCGTTGCTCGGGCGATTCGGGCCGGGCTCACTGCTGCTCAGAAGTTGTCTGGAGAGATTGCTGCTGTGCCGCCTTCGCTGCCGGTGGGCTTATCGAACCGCATCTACGTTTGCCTGCGCTGCCGGAGCCACCCCCAAGGATTCACTACTACCAGCTATCGTGTCTATTCTTCCTTGGTGCGAGGCGCCGGGGGGGAGACCTTTGATCCCACGAGTGTCAGCCACGCTTTTCCCTCAAGGACCGAAGCCGAGGCTTATTGTGCTGCCTCCGGTTGCCCATGGCCAGCCGAAGCTTAGGACCTGTGGTGGATCAGATCGCGGTGCGCCGGCTGGTGGACGAGGCGGCTCCTGGGCAACCTTTGCCGGTGCTGTATTTGCTAGGCGAAGGTGACGCTCCCGAATGGCGGGCTTTGGCATTCTTGGTGCGCTGCCGCTTAAATGGTTTCATGGTGCTCTTGCCGGACGACCCCGAGGTGGTATCGCGATTGCAGGCTGCCACCACCGACGAGGAGGCTACACTTGGGACCGTGCCTGCTTTCAAGTCGGTCGAGGTGGACACCGAGACTTCGCGCCGCCGCCCTACAGGCCTCGTCTCTGCTCTGATCGCCGACTTCGATTGGGCTTTCCTCGATGTCTTTCGTCGGGCGGCTTCGGGCACAACGCGGGCTTCTGGAGGGATCCGTCTTATAACTTTGAAGTCCGGCGACGCTGTGGTGCGACCGCTTCGTCCCAGTGCAGCTGCCGTCTCCGAGGTTTGGGTCAACGAGATGCTTTCGGATGCCAGCTTGGCCGAGTACATTACAGCCGAGGAGGAAGTCGGCGAGGGCGACCAGGACGAGCACGAGTCAGGAGAGGAGCCCGAGATCACCGAGGTCGAGGCGCTTCGCAGCAGAGTCCGGGAGCTCGAGGCCAACATGCGTGCAGCAGCTCAGCCTTCACCTGTGCGGCCCGGGGCTTTAAAGACAGCTCGGTCTTTGTTTTCGGAGTCGGTGGGCCAGCCCTTGACCGATGCCGATTGGGAAAAGCTTCGAAAGGCAGCCGGCTCCGCACCTCCCCGTCTTGCTGCCCACGAGCGTGCCGCAAGGAAGGTTACATCAGTGCAGGCGGACACCGAGCTGGCCGAGGAGGAGCTGGGGGCGGCCGAAGCACCTTTGGACATCACCGAGAGCAGCCCCGCCTTGCTGCAACTTCTGGCTACCCAGGCGAAGCTGTTGGAGAAAGTGATGGCCCCCAAGGCTTTGGATCCCCTAGCAGCGGCACTGTCAGGCGGTGCCACCGGCTCGGACAACGTCGCAGGCAGCAGCTCAGGTGCTCGCGGCATGGCCGCCCGGGATGCTTACCTCCGGGTTTTCGACCGCCCCCTGGACTTTGCAGAATCGGTTGCGAACCGAGCTCAGACCGAACTGGGGTGGGAGGCCCAGGAACCATCTATGATGAGGCATTACCTGGAACGCAAGGTCCCGCTCAAGGACTTGAAAACGGTGCAGCTGTTCAGCTTCTTTCTTGCGCACATGTGGGAGGACATGCGTCGGACTGGCAATCAGCGGGGCGAGTTCTGGGCAGCGCGCGGATTGGTCATGGCCGAGCAGTTCGCAGTGGATGCTGGAAGGACTCAATTTGGATGGCTCCTGTCGGGACTCCCGGATGTGGACCAAGGCCACTTGATCACTCGAAAGGGGGACCTTCGCCCTTACGGTCGCCTCTCAGCCGCCCCTTGGATTGCAGCTCA